TTTGGGATGGGAATATGTACAGCTAAAACATTAACTACAGTGATAAGGAACTTCTCATGGAAAATGCTTCATCTATACAGGGGAGTGGTGACCTAATGGTTCAAGAAGCGACCTTGTGACCAGGAAGTTGGCAGTTCTCTCAGGGCTTTCCTGTAAAAGAGCCTCTCACTGGAAGTTACCCTGACTACATAAAGGTTCCAGCTTGTGTTATTAGCAAACTTAACACCAGAGAGGCACTGAAAATAAGAGCTACTCCTTACCTCACTGAACGTTAAAGTATATAGGTATTTGACTTGCATGAGCCATTGAAGAAATTCTCTTGCAAATGGTAAAAACCAAGTGATCCTGAACATTTGCCCAACTATATTTATGTTTACATGTATGGTTACTGGCAGCAGGAAAACATCAATATCAGCTTCAAAAAGATCATAAGAGATTAGAAGAGAATGTGGTACTACTCCCTAATAAGGAATGTTTTATAGAAGGCTTATGATTTGTAATTAATGGATTTATAATAACTTATAAACAACAGGAACAATCTCTGAGGTTGTTAGGTTATAAATAACTTTTGGCAAGACTATTTAACCACTTACCTGGACCAAAATCTATTTATTATTTATATATATATATATATATTCACAATTTCTAACACACTCAAATGACATATTTGGCACAATGTTTGGCACAATTAAACAAAACTGACATTCAGGAAGCAAAAATTCAGCTCATCTTTCATCAGATCTGATCTGATGAAGCCTCTTGGATGAGAGGTGAAATGTCTTCGACCTAGAAATCTAGTCCAGGTGATTTTTTCTAAGTTTTTTCAGCTTTCATATTAGACATACACAACTGATCAATGAGCATGCACATTTGATTAATTCTGTATTGTTAATATGTGTAAATTTTCTTTTGAGTTACATGTTTCCTGGTCCATGGATGGATGGTTCAGCTGAAAGATTGGACTGAGGAAGCAGCAGGTTTAAATACCTCCCACTAGGCCTGGAATGCACCAAGTACCCAATACAAGAAAGGGGGGACTTTGGGAGAGATGTATTGTTTATTTGTTGGTAGTTTATAAACTTTATTTGTCAAGTTATGTTAATTTCTTCACATTTAAAGGAAATATTTAGTTGAGAGCAGACTGTGTGTTTAGTGTTTATTAGTTGATTGCTTTGGTAGTGTCTTTAGTTTACCCCTTGTGTGTGTTATTGGTTTGGCCAGCCAATATATATGTTCCCCTTTGTGTCATTTGTTAGGTCAGTTGCTTTTGTTGAGGTATTAGGCAGTTCAGTTTGTTGTATTTTGAGTTTCCTTTTCTTTTGCTGACCTCTTTTAGGGCCCAATTTATCTGATGTTAATGTTTGCATTTTTCCTTACTTTTGGGTTAATAAAAAGCCCATTGTTTTGAACTTTGAAAGCTGTGTCTTTTGCCTTACTGCTTGGTCCCTGACAATGCCACACTCCTGAACCAATTTTAAAAACCTATGCCATTGGCCAAAAACCTAATTGCTTAATTGTTGACTCATTAACCAGGATGTTAGCACTATAAAAAAAGACAACAGGTGAGTGGCCTGTTCATAGCAGGCCTGTTCAAAGCTGGTATAGATGTCAACTTGGACTCAAAGATGAACTGATTAGATGTTGGTCAAAGGTCAAGTTCAGTGACCTCATGTCTGTTCCATACCTGTGAATTTGACTGGTTGGTGGAGGCATACAACTGCAATACAGCAATTATAGCTTTTTTAAATAGTACTATTGATATATTTTATTTGCATAACTGTAATATCCACTCTGCTGTGTGTGTTGCACTAACTTGCTGTGAAAGAAAAAACTAAATTTAGTTTTTTTTGCTGTGAAATCTGTGTTTTGTGCAGATTTCTGTGCACTTTACTGTAACAGTCTTTCCCTGCAGAATCTTCTTATAGAGAAAGGCCACCAAAGATAAATGTGCTTTGAATTTAACACAGCAGTGGGTGGTTTCCTGAAAATAAAGTCAGTTAATGTGAATGAAGTGTGTGGCATTTGGTGTAAAAAGTTAGATTTTATGAGCATTTTTGTAGTTTTTTGTGTAGTGCTTCATTTTGTGGTGCGCGTGAACTGTTTTGCATAAGTGTTATGAGACAATGAGTCCTGCTGCCAAAAAATGTGTTACCAATTGAAAAAAACTGTAACAGCCCTTTAACATTTAAAAAGCAACTCACAGGACCCCCATTATTAATGATATATGAACACTTAGGCCTTCAGAGTTTAATGGCTGTTAAGAAATCAATAAAACTATGAGTATTAACGGATTACCAGCGTTTTTGCTACCAAAATATGTCTGCACTGTATACCAAATAGAAAGAAGACAAAGCAGGACTGAACCCTGCAACCCAAAACTTGATCTTATCAGTAACCTATAACTGATGTATAAAGCACCATTGTACAAGGGCCCTTTAGTAGAAAGTGTTACCAAAATATGTTTGTAATAGTGAGAACAAAATGAATAGAAAAGGGCTCAGCTGGGAGGAATTGTGAAATGTGTATTCTCAGTCTTCATGGCGTGTTTATTTACGAGACCCTAGGGCACAACCTTTCCATGATTTGACCTGGCAAGGGCTTCCGTGAATCCCACCCCGCTGCGCTATCAGAGGTGCTGCACAGGCATGTTTCTGCAGCACCTCTTTTCCCAAAATGGAGCGCTTTAAAGGGACTCTGTGATTCTACAGTCCCGACTCCGCCTTTGAGATAATAAAAAAAAAAAAAAATTGAAAGAAGGAGGAGAAAAATCGCTTACAGGTATTTATACATAAAGGGTTACACAGGACATTACTTTTCAACACCATTTATCTTTTTTGTAGCCGCTGAAGCACCCTAAGGACATGTGCATGAATTGGTCAAAGATTCAAAGAACAACTCGTGCTTAATGAATGAATCATCAGATAAATCATTTAAGAATCAAAAAGAGCTGATAGATGACAAATGAAAAAAGTACAGGAGTAAAAGTTGTGCACGTTAACACTGATACAGTATATGATGGCGTATGGAGTGAGCATCTCAGCATTCGTGTTCTTGTTTGCACAATTTGTAAATTCTGCATGAGACTACACAGACAAACCCAACGCCTCTCCACATGTTTTTACCATATAAGCAGGCCCAGCACGTTACGATTTGCGATACGATCTCAGGTGTTCCCAGGTGTGAGATTTGGCAAATGAGTTACAGCCCCTCTCATAATGTCACTTTCCCCTGGGGGAAAACCCCTGAGGCTCAGAGGCCTTCATTGCCAAGAACAGCAGGGCAAAGTTCTCAGGTTACATATAAGGGATGGGATGCAGAATAATGAATAAGGTAAGTGTTAGACCCTTTATAAGTAAGTTGAACCAGGTGTGAGCAGCCTGAGGACCAAGGAACCACCACTGATGTAAACAAAGAGTGTTTATTTAACAGATAAACACAGTGAAAGCATATACAAAGAATGGTCTTAAAGCAGCTGATTGCCAGCAATAGCTACAACACTCTAGTTCAATAAAATAATAAATAGATTAAAAACAAGCTACATTTGTGTTCTTGTCCAGGGGGCAATTGCTGCAGTCCAACAGGAGAGAATAGCTGGGTACTATATCTCCAGTGTCCTACATGTCAGAATCAGAATCAGAATCAGAATCAGAATCAGCATCAGCTTTATTGGCCAGGTGTGACAGACACACGAGGAATTTGACTCTGGTACATTGGCTCTCAGTGTGCAAACAATAAACCAGCATAAGGCTGTGTAATATAACAAAATAGCAGTATTAACAGCAACAAACAGTGCAAACAATGCAGAATAAGCAGTTGTGGTGGCAATTTCCACAACAGCAGTAAAAACAGACAGTAAACAATGCAGACAATAATGGAATGTTCATTGGAAAGAGATAAATAGGGATAAAAACAGAGTACTTGGGCAATTCACTCATACCCTTGGTTCAGTTCATCCTGTACCTTCACCATAAGGCTCATGCCTTCACCTTCGAACAAACAGTGGTGTAGTGAGTCCTTTTAAAAACACTGGTCAAGGCCCTGCTCTTAATTCCCAGAGCATAAAACAGATGAGTCAGCCGAGCAGTACTCACAGCTTTGTGGGTCTTCCACTCTGCCCGTCGACTCCAACTGCCTTCATCATGCATAGGCACATGAAAAAGGTGACTACAGACTTCATAACTTTTAAGTCATTGGTTAAAACATATTTATTCACTATGGCTTTTAATATATAGTATTGTCTTCCGTCTTTTAACGATGGATTCTGTGTAATTTGTGTGTTTATGTTCCTATGTTGTTTTATTCCTGTATTGATCTTATTTACTTTAGTTCTTACCTTGTCCTTGTACTTTGGTTTTTAAAGTGCTATATAAATAAATTTTGATTTGATTTGATTTGATTTGACTACACCCCTAACCCTGTGACATACATCCAGTGCACTCTGATGTATTTAATAAAAACCAAAAGTCTTGGAGTTGCTTAGACAACCTAAAAAAGGCCAGTTAATGCAGACTGGATCCAGAGGAAGGCCAGATGGATTGCTGCAGACCCACCCTAGTAACAGTTTGCTTGTGCCTCTTCCCTCCAGGAACAGGTACAGGAATATAAGGACTAAAACAAACTGAGACACAGCTTCTTCCCCGGAGCAGTGAAATCAATCACCCCCCTAACCCGTAGTCTCACACACACACACAACGTTCCCCCCACAGGCAGTTACAGGTATAGTGGACTAGTGCAAATGCACACACATGCTCACACCTCTTCTTAAAGACTGAGATTTGCACTGAGCTGCACTTTAGAATGGGACTATATTCTTCTGCTGCTAATATGCTGTTGACCTGATTAGTTCCCATACATCTTCATTTTTATCTGTTCATATTCTTATATTGACTGTACATTTCTTGTGTTTATGTAAATAATGTGCCTTTTAAGCCAAGAGCTGCTGGAAGAAATTTCGCTGTGCTATGAATAATGACAATAAAGATTCTTGACTTGAAAGTGGTTATAACAAACAGTTTATGTTATATATAGTTAATTGTCATGATTCTGTCTTGTTTCTGTCTTCTGTTTTGGACTGTTTTCCTGGTATTCAGCTATCAGACTTCCCTCTCTGACCCCTCGCTTCGGATCTCTCGGCTGTGTGAATTTGCTGGTTCTGACCTTGGACTGTGTTCCCGACCTGTGAGTGTTTGTTTGTGTTTACGTGGGTTTAGTGATCAGTCTGTGAGCATAATAAAGAGACTGTTTTCACCTTTGCTCGTCTGGCATTGTAATAAGAGTCCACCAATTAGCCTGGCTAGTAGTGGTACTGGGAATCCTTGACAGTTAATTCTTTGTTAACATATTTTTGATTAACATGTGTTATGGAATATATGTTATCTATATATTAGAAGAGCTCTTCTTGTGTTCATATAGGAAAATGCTTGTGTAACAACAAAAGTTCAGCGACCTTCTCTTCTCTCTGTGCTGCTCGAAGGGGAAGTCGGACGGTCAGGAGTTTTCCCCAAAGGAAAGAATGTAAAGGAGAGAGATGAGAATAAAAAGTAGTTGGGTGGGGGACAAAATAGTGACAAAATACTAACAAGGTGATCTTTGTAATGAAATCAATTACTACAGGTAAACAGCTGGGGCCAGATGTTCTGTGGCTCTGAGACACTTGCCCAGGCTGTCTTTTTGGCAGTCCAACCTTGATATTTGGAAGTTACTGTGGTCACAACTACAACATTAAGACCCTAGTTATAATGAACTTGAATTATTTCCGGGGCGAGGCAATGCAACAATTAAAGGCTTAAGCCAAAATGTATGAAAGAAGGGCCTTTCATACATTTTGTTATTTCAGTGACCCTGAGATAACAAAAAGAGCAATTATACTGCTTTCTATAAACAGACATTCATATTTTCAGACATTGGGTATGTACAGTGAGCTGCTATATGACTCCTTATCCTCCTCTTCATCAGCTTCCTTATCATCCAGAAATTTATCCAGTAAGTTTGATGATTCCGATTCTACCTCTGGATCTTCATCCAAAGATGGGCCTTGCGGTTCAGGGTCCAGCTGGTGGCCTGAATGCTGTGGGAGCTCTAGAATCTGGGACTGAGGGTCTACACCCTGGGCCTCCAGCTGAGGGACCATTGTGGTCACAGACACAGACAAGGGCATGTGCATCAGAGGTGACCCAGGCAGGGCCGCAGAGCCAGGAGCAAACTGGACCCCCGGGTTAGGCATGGTAGATATGGTGGTGAGAGGCTGGGCCCAGGGGAGGTAGGTCAGTGCCGAGTCTGGGAGCTCCATCTGGGGAAGGGAAGCTGGTGCAGAGGCCACTGGTATAGTCTAGATAAAACAAATAAGACTAAAACATTACTGTTGATCACTATGGAACTAAAATTAGCAAAAACATAAAAGGTTTTTCTTGTTCAGGTTGACATTCTTTCTGCTTATACACTGCAAACAGCACAGTCATCAGAAGGTAATGTTGATGTTGTGACCTTTCTTAACTGAGCCTTCCAGCCTCTAAACGAATTCAAACTAATTCTTTGTGCATGGATAAAATGGCCAGTGGGTTTAGAGGCATGTTCTATTGTTGTCTTGTCCTTTATGTCCCACTCACTATAGGTGTGTAAGGTGGGCATTTAAAGCTAAGAACTGGGAGAACAGGAGGTGTTGTCAGCAGTGGTAAAAAGTAACTAAAGACATTTACTCAAGTATTGTATTTAAGTACAGTTTTGAGGTATCCCTATTTTACTTGCATATTTTCATTGTCTGTGTTTCATTGTCACTACATTTTAGAGGTGACTATTGTACTTTTTACTCCACTAAATTTATTTTATAACTTTAGCTACTTTTCAGAACCATTCATTCATTTTCTACCGCTTAGTCCCTGAACAGGGTCAGGGGGGTGGAGGGGGGGCGGAGCCAATCCCCCTTGGCAGGTCGCCAATCCATCGCAGGGCTAACACATAGACAAACAACCACACACACACACACACACACACACGCACACGCACGCACGCACTCCTATGGGCAATTTAGAGACACCAATCAACCTAAGCTGCATGTCTTTAGACTGTGGGAGGAAGCCGGAGTACCCGGAGAGAACCCACGCAAGCACGGGGAGAACATGCAAACTCCACACAGAAGGGTCCCGGGTGGGGCCCGAATCCGGAACCTTCTCGCTGTGAGGCAACGGCGCTAACCACTGTGCCACTGTGCTGCCCCCTTTCAGAACCAGATTATACAAAAATACAATATGATTATATGACTCTATTGATCCCTGGCAGAAAATTTTCAAGCTACTCAGCAGTATTTCAAATTAAAAGCATATAAGGTTGTTAAAACTGGCTTTTTAGCAGCTGCAACATTAAATGCGATGTACACAGTAATGCATTGATAATTACAATCCAGTAATATGATATACATTGATGTTAAATGTGCCATTCTGCATAATTAGTACTTTTATTTTTAATATTGTACTTTAAGTATGTTTTGATGCTAATAGTTTTGTATTTAAGTAACATTTTGAATGCAGGACTTTTACAGAGTATTTTTACACAGTTGTATTGCTACTTTTACTTAAGTAAGGGATCTGAGTACTTCTTCCACCACTGGTTGTCATTTGGTACTGCATCAATGCACTGCAATGATGACAGACTGTAATTTTGCCAGTGGTTTTTCCATGCAGGGTGTAGCCTGCTAAAGCTTTAAACATAACTTTTGTTGAGTTTCCTACTCACCCCAATATTAGTGAGAAGTGGTGTGTGTGTGTAGGTCAGCATGGTGTAGCTGGGGCACAGAGTCTGCATATACACATCTGCAGTCAGGGTGGGGGTGCCTGGGTAGGCCAGATTCTGTGCCGAGGGCTCCTGCTGGTTGTACTCAGGTGAGGACCATGGTGTCATGGCAGGTTGCAGGCCAGCACTAGTGGCAGGGGGTGGAGCTTTCCACCCTGTGTACTGCAGGCCTCCATCACCAGCTGCTGTTGACGGTTCAGCTGAGGTGACACTGGTAACATCAGCGCCAAAGATGGCTGAATTTCAAAGAGAAGTAGCGAATTAGTCTTTGAAATCATGCAGAAACACATAGTTTTATTCACAAGAATCAGTTAGGTAAATGATCAGGTAAGTTTCAGGCGCAGCTGTTGTGAATGAACAGTACCTTGTGTGTATGATGACTGGTTGTTGTGTGCAACCACATCCTAAAAAAGAGTAAAACAAACAAAAAAGTGAGTTGAGCATGTCAATAATTGTAGTAGAACCACTATCACATGTTGCTGCAGCAGAACTAGAGCATGTTGTGATGTTGATATATAAATATGCAGTATTTACATTTGTACTCTTCAAGTCCAGGTGTGAGCAGCAGCTGAGATGAAATTGTGTGTGTGTGTGTGTCTCTTAGAGATAAGAGCCAAAATTTATTTGTGTTTTCACAAACAAGTGTGTCCTTACAAAGTTTGTCTTCTGCAAAATAACTTTCTGACTTGAGTCAAACTGAACTAAAACTGAATTTTGTGAAATATTTAGCATGGAAAATATGTTAAAATATGAAGCAATATAAACTGATATTTTTTCCCAAAACTAAATCAGTTATAAGAAGACATCCTCCTTCTAGAGGGCAATTTATTAATTTACTGCTTAAAGACAAGGATTGTCTTCAGTTTATTAAAGAAGGACTGGGTATTTTTTATGGAGACTAATTGCACTGGAGGTTTATCAGCAGGTACATTGTGGGAAACAACTAAATCTGTCATGAGAGGAAAAAGAATATATTGTTCACATAAAAGGAAGGAGCAATTGGCTTGGGAACATGCCAATTATGGGAACATGTTAATGTGTGTATTGTGTTGTTTTACCAGATAAGTGACAATTACTAATGTATCTAAATCATATTTTTCACATTCTCACACTCCAGACCAGAGTATATTTTGAGGTGAGGTAGAATCTG